ATGTTAGTAAGACCTAGCCGAAGAAAAAGAAGCCAGCTGTCCATGTCATCAAGCCTTCCAAAGATGTCAACGGCAAGGTTTATGTCCAAGGATGCACAATAATAAAGTGTTCTGGCTTCCCCTTTTGTGCATATTTCCATATTTGAGATTTTGTTGTGAAGAGTGGCTGCACCAAGCCAGAACTAAGTTATTCTTGGATACCCTGACAAAGCACTACCAATCTATCAGCTCAATACCACTTTCTAAACATACTTCTTTTCAAAATACCCAACACCTGGCATGTTAGCTGAAGCATGAGAACACAGAAGCATTTGAGGGATAAAGTCTCACTTAGAAAGACCAACCCTACTTTAAGAGAGGTAACTAAAGACCACAGGTTACATAGAGACTGGAGCTTGGCTAAAATAGGCATTCTTTTCTGAAGCCACAAGATTTCCTCCAAATCTCAGCTGGACCAGGGCCACACTTCTTCAGTTCCCTGTGGGGAGGCACAAGGTGTATTAGAATAGCAGTGGTGCAATTATTTCTAGAGCCAGGCTAGGTTTACCTTAAGACGAACACTGCTTTGAAGTGCAGACTTAAAAACTGGTTGTGTTGGGTACTAGTTAGGGGCATAGTTTCTGAGTTCCCAGGTTGCACATCACGCAGATATCCTATTTCTCAATCTCAAAATGTTTATTGGTGGATATTAAGTCATGTTTCAGCAGGAAAATAGGTGTCGAAATATGATCAAAATATTGAAATTTACCCACCGGCTAAGAATCAAAAGTGGAAGAAAGGCAACGTTTGGGGGGCTGGGGAAGGACACGGCAGAGCATACATTGTTTTTCAGTAATCTTCTAAGAGGGACAGGCTTGGAAAGTGTAACTGGCAGCTAAAAGGGGCTTTTCAAGAAAAACTTGGGTATTACATGAAATTTGGGTGAAGAAAACAAAGCTGTACTACTAAACCTGCCCAATTAAATGTTAAGATCAGGTTACAGACTACAGATAACTGACAATAACAGAGTGATGACATAGGGAAGCTAAATTGTGACTGTCCCTTAATGTCCAAGATAACATTAACCATTCATTCCTCTGTTCTGCTACACATGGCTGGTAACAGCACTGTGGGTTTAAATTATAAAATGCACTATGTTCAGGGAACATTAATTTGTGTTTTTATTTTTGACCGGTAAGGGGATTGCAATCCTCGGCTTGGTGTTATCCACACCACGCTCAGCCAGTGAACTCACTGGCCATACCCTATATAGGATCCGAACCCGCGGCCTCGGCGCCAACAGCACAGCACCCTCCCAAGTGAGCCACGGGGCCGGCCCCAGGGAACATTAATTTGCTTGAACTGTTCCAGGGGTCACATTTGGTTCTGGGCCACTGCTTATGTTTGGAAATACTTATTAATATAAGGACAGTGAGACAGTACTCTAATGTGCCCTACTGACCTTTTGAAACTTGGGGTAAAGTAGGACACATTGAAAGTCTTGGGGATGGAATAATTCAGGTTTGAAGATGGTGAAATTGCTGACGTAGGCTAGCGTCTTGGAAGACAGTTTTTGCATCTACCTAGTGAATAGAACAGCCCTCTGGAGAAGTAAGGTCGGAGATCTCTATCTGCATATTCACGGACTGGAAAAGATTGGCCAATTATAGCCCCAAGGTCGTGGATTTGGATTCCCATACCGGCCAGCTTCCAAGAAAAGATTGGCCTAAATGTTATTTTTGGTTCAAGAACATCTAGGCATTATCAAATTAGGAAAAAGATTCTTCCCTATGGACATAGACAGCTAACTGCACTTCAACACTGGGATTTGGGGCTGAAGTCCCAGCTGATTTTATTATGCTACTTTTCCATTCTTTGACTTTATGGACACTTCCCGGGAAGGACAGATGGCTGAGCTGTAATAGGTTTCATAGCACCTGGTACTATCAAAATTTCACCATGACTTCCATTATGCTACTTTTCCATTCTTTGACTTTATGGACACTTCCCGGGAAGGACAGATGGCTGAGCGGTAATAGGTTTCATAGCACCTGGTACTATCAAAATTTCACCATGACTTCCAAAAGTTCTTGTTCTTTACCAATTAAATTTCTGCATGCTTTCTATTAAGAGGTTTTAACACTGGTGATTATGAAAGTTTTCAGCCAACTACCTCAGAATATTTGAGCCACTGCTGAGAAACAGTGTACACCATCACTCATCTTTCTTGGGTGAAAAGTAAATCACTAACATACTAGCAGTTGCAAGCTTCTACTGTACACTGTTCCTATCTCCCCTGCCTTGGCTAAACACACAAAGTCAGCAGTTTTTTGGATCATACTAATCAGTGGTGTTGAGGCCCTTTTACAATCTTATAGTAATAAATCAACTGGCTCCCATAAAGACAGAAGTAGGGACTTCACTAATGAATTGTTCTGAGGGCTCAGGTTCATGCAATATAGTTGACTCATGTAGTCAATGGCAGAAAAAATATATATTTTTGGCACAATTTAAATAGAGGATAAAACATGTTTTCATCCACATTCAGGTATAGTGCTGCTAAGAAAAGATAATTTTTCTTCTTCGGAAAAATCATAAGCAAACCATGTGGAGAAAGAGTATAATAGGAGGGCCGGCCCGTGTTTCACTCAGGAGTGTGGTGCTGATAACACCAAGGCCACGGATTCGGGTCCCTATATAGGGATGGCCGGTTGCTCACTTGGGAGAGTGTGGTGCTGACAACACCAAGTCAAGGGTTAAGATCCTCCTACCAGTCATCTTTAAAAAAAAAAAAAAAAAAAGTATAATAGGACATTTATAAAACTATACAGCATTCTATAAACCTTACAGATCTAATTAAATAATAAGTATAATATGAATTCTTCTTTAGATGCCTTTAAATTCTACTCATATAATATTATTTCTCCAAGCAATATTCAATCTAGATGAATTACAGAGAACTATTTTACCAAGGAAGACCTGGAAGAACTCAACTTACTAATTTTATAAATATCTTCAGGATTTTAGTGCATACTTTAAAATCACATTAATGTTAAATGGGCGTTAGAAGCAAATAAGCTGAACTAAACTGCTTCAGGCAGCCTAGAAAATATAAATAAAAATAAAAATAAATATTCAGTGGCTCTTTGCATTCTTTAAAGATATGATTTAAAACCTTGATGTTGTGTTGGTGCTCCTGACACCAGCCAGCATCAGCTTAGTTATCTCAAAATAGCTGAGGCATCAAGAGGCCTTCTCTAAGAATTTCATATTAAATTGATTGATATGTTGAAAAGTAAAGTGTTTCTGTTAATCTACACATTGGAGGCAAGAACAATCACTTCCATATAATAATGTATTTATTACAAGAGAGCTAATAAGGAAAAATGTAATATATTCCATATTCAGACTTTAAGCAGACATGACTAGTAAATATTTCCAGAAAACAATGCTATCTACAAGAAGAAAAAAAAAAAAGTTTAAAGTTGAATCTCCTGGAAGTGCTTTAAGAGTTGCTGAGCATTTCCTCGGGACATATTATGCCTATTTTACATATTTAAAGGAGTCTCAATAAAATACATTTACTGGGATTTTGTGTGTGTGTATTTAATATTCTTTTTTGCTCATGAAGAAGGAGGAAAAGAGGGAAAGAAAAAAGAAAAAGAGAGAGGAAAGAAGGAGAAGAAAGAGGGAGAGAAAGAAAGGGAAGGAGAGCAGGAAAGGGAGGGTAAGGGAGGGCAGGGATAGAGAAAGGAAAGGAATGGGGAGAGGAAAGAAGGAGAAGAAAGAGGGAGAGAAAGAAAGGGAAGGAGAGCAGGAAAGGGAGGGCAAGGGAGGGCAGGGATAGAGAAAGGAAAGGAATGGGGAAGGAAAAGGGAAGAGAAAGGAAATCTGTATGGTGTATCTGTTCCTTCACTGAGTTAAATCAGGCAAATGGAGGAAAGACGGTGAGGAAATAATATACATGATCAGAATAATCAAAGGATGATACTAGTTTCTGCCTTTGGAAGGACCAAAGTAAAAAGAAGCAATTATTATATTTACCAAGTTGGAACGGTTACAAAACCACGTGATGGAAATGAGTGTGTGAGTGCAGACAGGACGCAGGGAGGGACACAGGAGCAAACCACCTTAAATCATGGCAGTGATGAGGCAGGCTGTCCTGCTATGGAGAGGACATGGAACAGCATCCATATTCTGTCAGAGTGGCTAGCCAGACTGCAGAATTTTTAGTAAAAGAAAGACCAATTTTCATGTTCCCTGGGAAATTAAAGCAAAGCAAAGACCGAAGTACTTAGTATGGCAACAGATTGCATTTCCCAAATACCAGCATGGACACTGTGGTTCACTAATCTATCACACAATACTGGGTTTTTCATGAAGATAATGATTCAATTCAAACAATTCATCTTTATTATGAGATTAAGACCTCCTAAAGTTTTGGTTTCAAGCTGGTAATGGTAAATACTTTGATTTGTTTGTTCCCATAAGGAAGAGCTATGGATTATATTCTGGGGTTTGTACATATTTCTAAATATGCCCTTACTCGATAAGGTAAAAAGTAAAGTAGGCAATCCTTTGCGCATCTCCATATTATTTTTAAATTTTATGGTTCCCTTAAATCCCAACTCCTGGAGCCGTAGACACAACACCAAATCATATCCTCACAAGCAGGGAGCACAATAACTCAGAAATCTGGAGGACTATACTATTATAAAATCTCTGAATTTAGAGGGCTAAATAAATAAATACATTCAAGAGACTGGTATGATTTATAAATAACCTGGCAGCCTGGCCATTCAAAGTAAAACTTGTGCTTTAAACTGGGACATGGAAGCAGGAGGGAGTGGATGGGAAGAAGCAAGACCAGTTTCAAGGTCACCTCTCACGACTCAATGTAAAGCATATGATATTCTGCTAGCTGCATTATGTTTATTTTTGTAGTAAAAATTGGGGGATTCAGAAACCTAAGACATAAACATAATGCTGCAGTTATTATTCCTCAAGTTATTAATACTGACCTTTAAAATTAAATGTTCCCCTTTGTTCCTTTTCCTCTTCAAAGAAACAAGAATAGCTTCCCATTTGTTTGCTATTATTGATGGCGAACCTAAAGATAATTCAGTTATTAATATAGGCTTAGTTCTCAGAAAAGCTTAATGAAAATGCAAAAAGAGCCATTAATCAAAAATTTAAAACAGAAACAATTATGTAAATATGCAAATTAGAATATCAGCATAACATTCAAGTGACTGCAAAGGAAAGAATGCTCAGCCGGAAACAATATTTACAATTAAGCTAAATGTGGCTAGCAACGTAAAATTTTGTATACTCACGTGTATTTGGTATACAGGATGTTTCCTGTTGCATTGATAAGATAATTAGCCTTAAGTGGTTCACCACCTTTTTTCCAAGTCACATTTACTGAATTCAAATCCCCAGATGTTGTAAACTGGCATGATAGTTCTATATTAGAAGGCCTTTCTAAAGTGATATTTTTTTCTACTGGCACACTGGAATGTTCTATTAGCCACAAAAGAAAGCAAAATGTTGTGAAAGTTACATTTGGGGGGAAATCCAGTATATAAAACATTTAAAATGATTAACAACAGTGTTCTATGAATAGTTCCTTAATGTAACATTCATTTGTTTGAAGAATTATTCCTCTGTTGACATAGATTAGGTTTCCAAAAGGAATACAGGGGAGAGAGTACTGTAAAGCATGTGCCATATGTTCTGAGGGTGCAGAGACAGTACAACTGTAAAAACAAACACCAGTGGGGTGAAAATGGAGTGACAAATCATGCTGCTGGCAGTTATTACAAGACTGTCGGTGTGTAATGTGGATTTGAGTGACATACTATACTCTATCATTCCCAGTCTTATTAAGAACCTGTAGGGCTGGAAAAAGATCCAGATGTTAGACAGAAAATTTAAACAAGCATTCTGTAGTTCTGAATTTTAACTGCATTTGATATATCAGTATGAATTCACGAGGTGTTATATCGTAAAAGAAATATATATATATATATATATATTTATATACACAGAGATGCACGTTCTGTAGTTCTGAATTTTAACTGCATTTGATATATCAGTATGAATTCACGAGGTGTTATATCTTAAAAGAAATATATATATATTTATATACACAGAGATGCACGTGTGCGCACGTACACCCATATAGAAGGGGTCCAGAATACGCCACTGTAGCATCAAAATTATTTTGAGCAGAAGGCATATGAATACCTAAAATTTCTTATCTGAAGCAGAGTCTCCCAAAAAGACTCAATTGTCATAAATCCCCTCCCCAGGAGGAATCAGGGAAGATCACTCTTTATCACCAGAGATGACAAGTCTCTGCAGCACACCTAAACAGACATTGTCACGGAATTATCCTATCTTCCATCTATACTCCTGAGGGCTCATTTATCTTTCCAAAAAGTCATTTGTTTTCCCAGAAGTGGCCTTTCTCCTCCTCCCCATCCCCTAATTAAGCCCCAAATTCTGACTGCCCCTTTAAGCCACATTTTTTCTATGAACTCCTGTACATATGTCACTAAATCTGTCTTTTTTTTTTTTTTTGGCCAATCTGTCCTTTGTCAGTTGATTCAACCTAAGAAGGTAGAGGAAATGTTTATTGGGATTCCCTTGCTCATTCCAGAACCTGCAGCTGAGCCAGGTTGTCTTCTCTCTCCTTGTCTTTTCTCTCTTCAGTTTAATCCTCAGGCCCTTAACCACTAACTCCCCAAATATAATATATGCACATCATACTATACAAAAGATATAAATTTTTTATTTATATATACATATATCACAATTATGCAGGATATATATAGAGCCAACTTTCATTTTGAACAGTGGTAAATAAAGAAAAAATATCAAGCATGTACTTTGCTTGTCCTATATTAACTGTACCACTGGCTAATCACATAGTAGAGAAGGAAAACTTTCTCTTTGTACAAGAATTCCGGCAAATAAACTGAAAAGATCATAGAAATATAATACAATGATGTTGCAACCCCAGTGAATCACCGATCTAGTCATTTTGCAACAACTGTTGAAATCACATCAAAAACAGAATTATATGCCTCTTGGGGAAGAACATCCACCACCTAAGAAGTAATCTTGTCAGAAAAAGAAAGTTGGAGGGGGGTCCTGAAACTGATTAAGTCTCTAGATCCAATTCCCTGTTCACAGAAAATGCAGGATGGAAGAACACGTTACATAAACTCCATCCCATGATCCAGTTGTAGAAGAATGACCTGATTTTTTCCACAGATAAATTTTAAAAGGGAGAGAGAGACAATCCTGTTTGGGAAAAGTTAAGATTATAAGATACTTTTTAAAAAGGAAAACTAATCTGTAATATTTATGGATTCACATGCCTAAAAAATAAAGCAATATAAACAAGGAAGGAAGTCCATAAAAGTCAGAATAGTGGTAGTTACTCTAAACTAGAAGGGAAGGAACTGTGTCTGAGAGAGGACACTGCATTATATAAACAAATTTCCCAAACTCTTCTCCTGCTCAATAATGGTATGGTATGATTAAAAGTAGAATTGCAGGGCCAAAATGTAGAAAGAAAAAAACTAGAACTTAAATAAAATATGTCACTTTTAATTACATATAAAACTTTACAAAATGCTTCCTTAAGCATTGACCAGGTACAAAGTTTGCAAACAGTGGAGCACTGCTAGTGTGAAGTGCTTTGTGAGCACAGGCTTGAAATAACTGCTTGTGTGACTGCAAAATTGCTGAACTGAATTTTGTCCTGAAAAAGTAAAAAGAAAAAAAAAAAAAAAAGCCTAAATACAGAAAGACCTTAACAGAAGACAATTACATAGGGAAAAAACTGAGCAAGTAAAACTGAAGAGATTTATACATTTCCGCACATTTGCTGAGCACTTACTACATGCCAGAAATTATACTAGGTACCAGTACTAGGAGAAAATGTTTCACAATCAACTACATCTGGTCCTGAGCTTATGTTTTCTGTAAATTTTCCTCACTTCACCTTTAGCTCTGGGGTATCTTTAAAACTTACTCAGTCCTGTACCCTTCTCAAGGCTGTCCAAAAATTTACTTCGTCAATGAATTTCTTGAAAGAATTAGCTACTCAGTCTCTGTCCTCACCTGCATTCCCACTTCAGTAAGCATATTCTGGAGTCTTACCTCACCACAGCACAAGAAATACTCTCTCTTAGGTTAAAAATGACCTAATTATTTAACCCAATGACCTTTTTCCAGAGCTTATGTTTTATTTGATGTCTACAGAATGTCAGTTTTTACTAGAGACTACCTATTCCTTGAAAATCCCTTTACTTTGCTTCTATTTCACTATCCTGGTGTATTTTAAAAATTTTGCTAGCCACTCCAAATTCTCCCAAGTACCTCTTCCAACTACCAAGGGTTGTTGCCCCTTGGGACTTTGCTCTTTGGCCTCTTTACTTCTCAATTTGACACTCCTGTGTTGGATTTGACTATTACATCTAATACTCTTTATTTGCAAAACTTTAACTTCCATTCAGCACATCCCTCTTGATCTCCAGGCCTATAGCTCCAGGTGTCTACTGAGCATCTAAGCCTGGATATCCCATAGGTACTTCAAACTCAATATATCCAAGGCAGATCCATTAGCCCTCCCTTCCCCTGACCCATAACACTGACTCAATCACACACAGTAGTATTCAATTGATTCTGCCTCTGAAATGTCAATCAAATATGCCCAGTTGTCTCCAATCCCCCTTATTACTGGCCTTCATTTTCTTTCACCAGGACCAGGCAAATGACCTCCTAACTTCTGTAGACTAGAACACTATGTTTTATAAGAACACTAAAAGTGTCCTTCTAAAAGCAAAACTCAGATTATTTAACAGCTCTGATTAGACATCCTTCATTTGCAAAACACACTATCTTCCATATTTGTAAAATGGGACAATACCTGTCTCATGAGACTATAGAAAGCGCTATCATAAGGAAAGCATTTACAACTAAACAAATACATAATTTCAAATTGTAATTTGAAATTATAAGAACAGAATGCCTTGGTAGAGAGTAAGAAAAGGAACTTCTTTGGATAGAATGGTGGGAAAGGTATCTCTGAGGTCATGAATTTAAAACAGGCTACACAACATAGCAATTGCTCAATAAATGCCCTCTTCCACTCAGTATTTACCTCACTGGGGAATATAATAGAAGCTATCGTGTATGATGTTAAGAGTTGTATACTGAGATCAAGATCACACATCAAGTTAATAGCAGCACTGACTCTCAGATTTCCGTGTGGCTAAGTACAGATTCTCGTAACCAACAGTGTATACCAATTCTCAAAAACATGAAATTCTCATGACAATGGAATTAACTTCTTCATCACTTTCAAACTGTTAAATCAAGATTTTAAATGAAAGAATATGAAACAAATTTATAATGTAGCAATATACCAATGTGACTGTGATGACGGATGAATGGTATGATCAACACATTTAAAACATTTCCATTTTCAATTAAACACTCTTTTACATAATATAAACTGCAATGTAGACTTTCTTAGTGGCCGGCCATCCTGCAAGCCCTAACTGTTACCTCGTTGTTTCCTACAATACTTCACAGGTGTTTCTGCAGCTTGCTTTCCTTCCTGTCAAGAAATCCCAGCATCAAAAACATGTAAAAATTTTTTCCACTAACATTAAAACATTTTGTGGTTAGCCAGCAAACTGATGTGAGCTCAACGGACAATGTTTCAACTTCCTTAATATTGCACAATTGCAATACATTTCTGCTTTTACAGTGCCACAAAAACATCCCTGACATCTACTAAGACTACAGAAATGTGTTTCACTTCTGAAATATATTTAAAAAGACTATTCTTAAAACCATATAGTAATTTATATGTCAAAATGCTTTCCTGTTTTCATAATTAAAATTTTAAAAGTATACAGACCTTTTGGCAATTTGCAGTCTTTAGAGAAATGACATTAAGATCTTCTTTGGTCCTTTTAGGATCCAATCTCTTCAACCTTATCACTAGAAATAAAATTCTATTTTGTTCTTTTGTTAAAAGAACAATAAAAAATGGAAAAGTCAATTAAAATTCCCTGCATGCAGTAGTGTTTACAAATATGTTTTAAAAGCAGAAACTCCTGCAAAAAGGAGTTAAGTGCACTGCAACCTATATAACTGATAAGATGGGACCACTCTGATTGAAACCAAAATAGGAGATATAGAACCCATCAGTCTGACCTTTCCTTCATTTCACCATAGTAGTCAGTGAGGTCCCATACAGAATCCTCACAGCAACAGTCAGAAGGCCACACTAACATGAGACCAACACCCCTATAAAAAAGTGAAGCAATCAATACTATTTTTAACATTCAGGTTGTGTTTCTCATCATATGGATTTGAACTGACTTTATAAAATAACTCCTCTAATAACAAAATATCTTAAACTTCATATCCAAAATTTATCAAACAACATTGAGAACACTACTCCTTGACTCTTGTAATTTCACTTTTCCCCCAAA